GACAGTGACATGCCTTCTCACACGGCCCGCCACAGCGGCCGCGTGGCCCCCAGCAGCGGCTTTCAGGCGCCTTAGCCGACACTCCGAGCCGGCCGGCGGGAGCTCGGAAGTTCACTGAGTGCCTGGCTTTCGTGCCCCGCTCTCATGTCCCATCAGCTGCTAGCAGAGAACAGGAAGCCAGCAGTGAGGCCCCGGGGGGCTGCGGCCAGGCCTGCAGGGCCGTGGGCCTGAGGTGCGCCCTGCGGGGTGAAGTCCCCGGCCTCGGAGCCCCAGGTCGCTGAGAGCACCATCTGCCCTTGCTAGTCCCGGAGGCGCCGGATCGGCCCACCGTGTCCACCGCGTCCGAGACGTCCGTCTATGTGACATGGATTCCACGGGCCAACGGGGGTTCTCCGATCACCGCCTTCAAGGTGGAGTACAAGCGCATGAGGACAAGCGACTGGCGGGGGGGGGGGCCGAGGACATCCCCCCGTCCAAGCTGTCTGTGGAAGTGCGCAGCTTAGAACCAGGTAGGAGTGTGCGAGCATGCCTTCGTAACGTCCGCCAACTTCGGGCGCGCGCTTTCAATCCCCGTATGGGTTTTTAACTTTCCAAGCGACGTCTGCTTATTGTGTAAGAGTTTGACAATGAAGCAGGCGAGTCCCTGCCGCCCTCCCGCCTGGAGCGCTCGCGGCTTGGGCTCTGCGGCGTGCCTGTCTCGTAGCTTGCTTACGCGTCCAGTCTGCCTGGCTTCTTCCTTCTCGTTTATTTACAAGTTTCTGCCGTGGGGCTATGATCTCCAGAGAGTGACAGGGGCAGTGTGAGGGAAAGTGAGAACTCACCCCCGGGGAGGGCCATGTCACAGTCCCTTCTCCCCCATCCTCCTGGGACTTCGGGCACGCGTGCACAGGTGGCCAGCGTGTTCTTCAGCCTGCTGGGTCAGGGACCTGAACTGCAGTAGGCTGTGTGAGTCCAGCACTCTAACCAGCACGCCCCCTGCGGGCCCTTCTCTTCCCTTAACGCCATCTAGGACCACGACCCTGCGAGGTCGCGTGTGTGTTTTCCAGCATCATTGCAAACCCTTCAAAAGCTCAGCTGTGAAGAGCTGTATCCTGAACTGTGTTTTGTGGCTTTTCAGTTGTTTCTTCTTGTTTGCCACCAGGCGTGTTGCAAGGGGCCAGCAGGTAGAGTGGTTACGGTGGCCGGACTCCCTCATGGCCAGCTGTGGTCCGAGATCCAGACCCAGTGGCTTGAAAATCGGACTGGGTACACACCCAGTGTGCGTGCGTGCCCAAAATCCTACGAGAATGGAGGAGGGACTGTGGTGTGGCATCCCCCCAGGGGGGCGATTTCTCACTCTCCCTCCCACTGCCCTGCCTCTTTCCGGTGGCCGCACACCCTCTTGCAAAATTTTTAATAATTAAGAAGAGGAGGAAAAGCAAAGGAAGCGGTGAGCAGCCCGTGTGCGTGTTTTGCCGTGGGGCAGCACGAAGGAGGAGAGTGCGTCATCAGAGCCGCTGGGCGGTGCCAGGCCTCGGCAGGTCACCGGCGCTCGCGGTGCAGGTGGGAAGGAGACACTCGTCTGCGACCTTCCTTTCAGGAGGACCCAGGCTCCGCAAGGGCAGCTGAGCTGTCGGCCCGCAACACGAATCCCGTCCCTGCTCTCGCTGGTTAGGCCCTGCCCTTTTCATTTCTGGGTGTGTCCGTGTGCCGGTAATACAGACTATGAGTGTCTGAGCAGGGCCCGGCCCGGGAACGGGCAGTGCGTGGCGGTTTCAGATGGGAGCTGAGTGACCTTTCCAGTCTGAAAACCCCTTCGGGAGCTGGGGTGGTTTTGAGCTGTGAGGGTTGTGGTTTGTCCTGCAGATTCAGGGTTTTAGACACCCACACCCATGACAGCGAACCTGGGTACCCCTGGGCGGTTCGTGCCTGCCCCCACCTGCTCTCGGGTTCCGGGGGCCTCACATCAGCCTGTTTACAGATGGCCCTGGTAGCCCTTGCTGCAGGCACTCTGGGATGGACTTCGGTGGCCTGTCCTAGGACGGGAGGGTGGAGGAGCAGGTGCCCGCCCCCCCGCCCAGCCTCACGGCCAGCAACCATCTTCATAGTGCTTTGTCCTGGCACCCCCACCAGGCCCTGGGATGCTGACGGGGCGGCCACACCCACTCCTGGTTGACTGGCCCGGGGCTAGAGCCTGGGGGGGGGGCGTGGGGGCGCCCCCT